AATCTGATTTTCCTTTTTTTCTAGTTTGATTTATTTTACCTTTTTCTTGCCAGATGTAACTTGAAACGTTCAATTGAAGCACATGTAACTGAATGATGACTGCAATAAGATGATGATGTTGAGAAAAAGATTTAAGATGATGAAGATTATAGAGCTTAAGATGAAGGTTAATAAAAAAGAAAGATGAGAAAAGAGGAAAATGGTGAAAATAGGGAAAAAAGTGAAATGAATGGTTCCTTTCACTGTAATAAGACGCTTAGATATATTAGATGAAGGTTGTTGATTAAAAGTAACTTGTAACGTTCAACCTTGATTTGTAGCATCCAAGATTCAATTGAACGTAATGGTGATGGTAAAGAAGAAAATCATTTCAAATGTCGCTAAATTAAAGAACGAAAGAAACTGAATGAAAGACGAAATCGACTCGAAAGTGCATTGACTGAGATCTGTGCATCACAATGAAAAGGATTGTAATGCGAGTTTTCGAGTAAAGTTGATTAGTTTTGATGAAATTTTGTTTCGATTGCAATTGCATCAATGCTTTAGATGAGACTTGGCATATTGGCTTAGTGATTCAATCAACCAAACTGTTGAATGTTAACAAATTGATTCAGCTTTGTTAAGCTCAATTTGCTATGAGATTTCGCAGTAAAATTCTTGATCATTAAAAGGTGAATATTCCAGTAGTGATCATTTCACCACATCAACCTTACAATAAGCTCATTTCGTCTTTACCATGAAAATCCATTCAGATTGGTTTGTCGAACTAGACTGCCATCAACATTATTAGTTCCTTTGGGTTTTTCATTGTTTTACTTTCTTACTTACAGTCTTTTCGTTTCAACCAGTCTACTTGTTCAATTAAACAGTCAGAACCTTCGTGCGTATCTGTGCTTCTTTACATTCAAACTTGCGATTTTCCGTGATTTTCGAAAGGTCCTTTTCATAAATTTGCGAGAGTTCAGGCTGTAATAATTCAAACAATATTTAAAAGCCACATTCAACACAATTTTCACATTTATGCACAACTTTACAAAATATTGTGGACGAAATAAGCAAAATAATCAAATTAAACTTAAATTGTAAAATTTTACGGAATACCAGAAACTACAAAAATGAGAACGATCCATTTTCAGTCTAAATCTTGCCTTCGAAACTCATAACAATATGTTTTTGGTCATTAAAAGTTCCCATTATGCTTTTCAATGAAAGTAGAGTCAATAAGTGAAGGTAAATTTTCTGGTTTTTTGGGTAATCTTTCAATTTATGCAAAAATGCTGGGCCAATTAAGATGCAAACACTTTTGATTGACTCTGTAATGACAAAACAGTCGATAATGTCAATAGCTTCTTCTCAAAGAGTCCAGTTTTAACATGGATTTTGATCAATTCAGCTATTTGTGGTAACTTACTATTTAGTTCGTAATTGGCATAATGCTAGACATGATCTGCATTGAAAATAGCTTTCAAATTACTCTGTGATCAATGGCAATACCTGAACGAACTTCTATTGCAAAGTATCATTTCTTTCTGGCATTTAAGTTAGGCTATAAGGCGTTTATGAATAGAGATATTACTTTGGTTGTTACTAAAAAGACACAAATAACACAATTGTTGCATTTGTGCACAAATTGCCACAAATTGACAAAGTGTTGAAATAAAAATGGACTTAAACGTCTAATAATTAACTTTTTGCAAATTTACTTTCTGTTAGTTTGTAGAAAATCAAAAAATGAATCCAGTAGTGATAGTCGAAAATTTCTCTGATCAATAGTTTCGTAGAAAATTGAGGTCAAATTTGAAACTTCGATCGCTTATTGATCAAAAACGGAGGCAGATTTTTTCATATAACTTATCTTGAAGATGATGTTTCAAATTATCAACCAGAAAATGAACTTTTTTTGAGGAATTAAATTTTCTGTTTCCGTATAACTTCGATTCTTCGATTTTGATTTAAATCGGCCTTTTTCTGTGTCCTTAAAATTTAGAAATCTGAAACTTAGTATCAGTCCATAAAAATAATTTGTACAAGTCATGGATTGTATACTTTTTTGAATTCATCAATAGATCTCCTGATTTTGACCATTGGACGGGAAACTTTTTGGTCTCAATATTTCGAAAATGAAAGCACCTACAAACACCATTCTTTGGCCAACTATTAGATTTGCTTATGAGCTATGATATAATATGACTCAATATTGAATAAAATCTGAGCTGATTAATTTAATACTGAATAATATTTGAACACATAAGATTTTTGTTTGCACAACCATTCAACTTTATAAACAAAGTCTAAAATCTGGTAACATAAAGATTACTCTGCAATGGCTTTTTTTGTAGGATTGCGAATAATTTAGTATTTCATTATATCATAGACCATAATAAAATCTAATGTTCGGTCAAAGAATGATGATTGTAGGTGCTCTCATTCTCGAAATATTTAGGCTCAAACGTTGCAAGTCCAATGGTCAAAATCAAGCGATCTATTAGGAAATTCAAAAAATTATTGAGTCCATGATGTGTGCAAATAATTTTAATGTATGAATAATAAGTTTCAGGACTCTTAATCTTACGGTCACAAAAAGAGATCAGTTTAAATTAAAATCGAACTTATCTGTTTTACAGAAAACAGAGAATTTTATTGCTCACAATAGTTGCATTTTCTGAATTCCCATCAAAAATTACATCTGCATAATGAAGTTTCATGAGAAAATCTGCTCCCAAAACTGTATAAAAGGCGATTGAAGTTTCAACTTCGAACTCAAATTCCTCGAAAACTATTGATTATAGAAACTGTTTAATCACACAAATGGATTCAGTTTTTAATTCCCTACAAACTAACAGAGTTTAAATTTCCAACAACTCAATTTTTACCCAGTTTTGCCCATTTAAGTTTGTGTAATAATCATCTTTTATTGGAATATCATGTGCTTTTTGCCATCAACACTTAAGTCTTTCTGGAGGTGGTGCCTAGAATGGCCACATTAGCATCGTGATCTTTTACTGACTCTTAAAACTATTTTGCAAAATTCATTGGGATTTGGCGGAAGATTTTTTTCTATCGTAATTGAAGTTTGAGTTAACTTGCATAGTGCTGAGAATCGAGAAAATGGTTAAAGCAGAAGTTGAAACATCAACAAAATATCTAATCAATCTTATGAAGTGATCAATCTATTTATCAGAAAAGCTGGAAAATCAGTCAGAATTTATTGACCAGCGAAAAAAAAACTGAAATGAACATGGAAAAGAAACATTTCTTGGTGCATTGAAAGGCAAGTTGAACAATTTGGAATATATTGACCAGAGTATAGAACAATTAGATTTACGATTTTTTGGGTTAACTTTACTTGATTATGTTTTCCATTACCAGAGTTTAAAATTGGATGAGTGTTTCCTAAGCTTTTAGGTATTTTTTTGGTTATGATTTGCTTTTTAGTGCTTTGAAATGATTTCGGATTTCCAGAGATATAAAACAAACTGAAGCTCGATAGATTCTGGAAAATGTGACAGACATCTCCGGGTAATATAAATCACTATTAATAATATATCATTGAAAACTGTTTATAATGTACAAAAATTGATCCAAAGCAAACGAGAAATCAATAGACAGCAAAATTCAAGAAATAATTCAAAAGTGAATTACGTTGACAAGCACAGAGATTAGGCAGGATTGTTCATCCAAATCTCATCTGATGCATCATGGTTTCAATGTTTCTCACATAAAAAAAATCATAAGAATCGATCTTCTTAAAGAAATATATTTTCTTGCAAACTCGATCAACTGAATTAAGATTGCATGAGATGGAAATTCAGAATTTTTTTCCTTCTAATCTTCAAGAAAATGGTTTCAGGTTCGTCGCTAAGATTATTTTGTACGGCTCTACTTTAATTACTTTTGATATCAGCGTTGATCTTGTTGGAAGATAATCAATACGAGCTTCACTCAACATCATTAATTAAAGACTGAAACTGGAAATATATTTTGCCATAGATCAGTTGACTTAATGAAATGGCAACAATTTAAGATCTTTTCATTACATTAAACAAAAATGTATTTCTAAAGACTGTGATCTTGATCAGATCGAGGCTTTGACTTACAATTTACTTCAATTTATGACCGAGTTTTGCTTCAACTTTTAATTTTCTTGACCATTAAATCATTGGTTCTTGAATTTCCAACTCAAAAGACGTTCATTGTCAATATGATTTGCTTTCATATTAGTTGTAAATTAAAACACCAATTTAGCAATCAAATAATTTAGTTTCATTTTCATTTGGGTTTGGGTTAACGCTGATAGCCTAGCGTCATCTTTTGGTGCGAAAATAAAGGATGGATTTGATTTGTCGATTATAGATGGCAGTGTATATTGTAAAGTTACTCTTTGGTGGAGGGTAAACAAACTTTTGAATTAAAGCTTCTGATTTTGTTTCTGTTGATGTACTTTGGGTGTTTCAAGTTGTGATGATCATTTCAAGCTGTTCAAAGTGAACATTTGTTTTCCTTGGTGAAAAGATGAATCTGACGAGAATGTTGAAACTCATTCTGAGTTGTTGTTGGAATGAGAAAGAAAGAAAAAACAAATCGATTGGATTTTTATGTGGTAAAGTTCAGTGAACTAACCATTCTATTGTGAGTTGATCATTTTTTTCGAGATAAAAGAGTGAAAAAAAAGACTTTTCATTAGAGAGGATGAAGATGTGGATGATGAAGATTTAATGTAAAGGAAAAAAGAAGCGGAAAAGAGTAAAGAAAGTCAAAATCTGATTTGAATTTGGTATTGACGAGTTCAAGTTGTTTAAGTACATACAGTCATAATTTTTTCTGTTGGATTCACTACAATTGCACTCTAATTAGACTGATTTTTCTTTCCAACCATGATTAAATCAAGATGGAAAGAGTTGGTTTTTATAATTGATTAATTGATTTTTTTGAGAAAATTGTCTTTTCATTTTACCCGCTCTTTCTTGTTGCCCGCCATTAATCAATTAGGATCCGTTAGCTTTCTGTTTCTGTTGGCTTGTCTTGTTAATTAGTATTGATTTTTGTTTAATTGTTTTTCTATTGAATTTTTCAAATTGTTTAATTGTGTTTATCTTTTTAATCCTCACTCTTTACCAGATTACATTAGGTTAATTGAATTATTTCTTTTAATTTGATTATTAGTGTTTGCTTCATCCAATATTTCCCGGACAACAGCAAGTGCAACCAGGAATTTTGTTTTCTTTCTTTGGAAAAATTTAAATTTAAATTCGTTAATTCTACTAATTATTTACTCAAAAGCTATGTCACCATTTCACTCATGTTAATGAAGGATTGATTGTGTGAGAAAAAATAGCGGAACATCTGATAATGTGAGTAAGTATATGCTAAGAAGCTTTAAGACTTTCGCTTTCTCTATAATAATCCGTATTTTTTTCATCTTCATTTCTAGCTTGATTGTTTCCACTATTAGATGTAATCAAGAGGCAATCCTGTTATCTATAGTTGAAGTTACGGATCAGTATTTCATGTTATCAAGCCAAGATATAATTGAATGGCTACAAAAGGTACAACGGTTTAAAAGTAAACGGATTGGTCTTAATGGGAAGTTAAAGTAAAGAATGGCAACCAGAAAAGAGTGAAATTGATTTTGACAGATTCAGTTAGGATGATCATTTAAACTAACAATTGGTGTGCAATAGCAACGTAAAGAGAGAAGGAAAGCTAAACAATGGCCGAATAAAGGTAGTGTTTAGTACAATTGATCATCATTGATGCTATAATGTAGAGAATCAATGATTTTCTTAAAACCATGTTGACTGGTGCTGTTATTCATGTCGATTATTGTGGTGCTGATAGTGTAGTTTTACAAGTTTTCATTTCTTGCCAATCAACCAACAATCAGCCTATTCTTTTAAGCTTATCCAATTTCGAGGTCAACTGTTTATCCCTCTCACTCTTTGCTGGATACTATTAATTCATTCTGTTTTTTTTATTCCTACCATTTTAATATAAATATATATATAAGTTAAATTTATAGCAAACCAAGTTGTGAGAAGATGCTAATTCAATAAGCGTAAAACAAGATGAAAAATCGATTCCAGGTCAAAAGCCTGATCAAACCTGTCCATTTCATTTCAAGGGTTCAGTTTCAATTGGTGATGATGAACATGATGCAAAAAAAAGTGAAGCCTGTGCATAGTTAATCATGCAAGATAAAATATTTTGATGAACAACATCAACTCTTCTGTTTACTATTGCCTGCTAAAATATATCAAGTAACATGAAATTGAGAAGAGGATAAACATGATCAACACCAATGCCATTGAGACCAACAACAACATAAATGTAATTGCTAAATCAAGGATTTGAAATTGTTGGATTTTGGTTGTCATAAAATTTGGCCTTTCTAAGAATCAACCAGCAACATCAACACCTATTTGCTCTAACTAATAGTTCAAAATTCATTCCAAGTTAAATTTTAACTCGCAATTCATTACTTTAACACAATCTCTAACATTTCTTCTGTTTTTGTTCATGCATAATTAATGATTGCAATTTTTTTCTCAATTTTTACACTTTCCTTCAGTTACACCCAATATTCTATGGCTTAAATCGATTTTGTCTGACCTGGTATCATTCTTGTTCTCAATGTTATCATTACATCAAATTGGGTTATATCCTATTGGCCTATGTCAAAACAAATCCCACTGACCTCTAAAATGAATGGCAATTTCCTGATCTACGGCTTTCTAGGTTAAACAAACTACCACAATCACGTCAAATACCAAGTGTAAATAATTCAATAATATTAAGCGAGAGAGAACCAGTTTATCGTTACATTTCTTGGATATTTATTTGGTGTTTGCAGATAGCAGATTTAAACAAGAAAATAGGCAAAGTAATTGGTGTTAATAATAATTGATGGAATCTATGTCAGCAAAGAAAGCAAAGACTCAATGAACAACCCATTTGCAATTACCAGTGGCCTAACAAGTAAACAAGATTGATCTTGATCATTGTAAACATTTTAGGGGGCAAAGATGAATATAACCATGGTCAAGAAATAATTTAACAATGTGAGAAAAGAAGTCCAATAACTAATGTAGATTGATGACCTAAATGTATGGCCTTAGATCAACCTCATTTTCTACCAACAAACTGACCCATGTTGGTAAAATTGTTGTTGTTACCGTTGGATCTGGATTTTTGTCTAGCCTGAGATTGATTGCATTTATTTTGGTTTTCATCGAAACAAGAGCAATTGCTTTTCACCAACCTGAAAAATGAAACTAGAGTCAGAACCGATATCCTCAGCAAAATGGACTGCTTTTAACTTAATTTATTGCAGATCCCATTGACATTGATAAAACTAACAAGAAATATTAATCAAGGAATAAATTGACAATTGCTTTACCAGATGAAATAAACCCACTTGTGTGACAATAAAAATGAAAGACAAGGTATCGGTACAAGTGAGTACAATTTTAGATGAAGATGATAATCACAATTAGATTGAAATAATTATAATAATTTAATTTGTTTTTTATCTCTTTTTTGCATGATGAAATGATGACCTTTGCAAAGGCAGACCAAGGTTAAATGCGATTTGTATCTCAACATGAATGGGACTAAAGAACGGAAAAGTATAAATATGATACTCTTTTTTATTCATTTGATGGTGTCACATGGCGTTTCAATGGATACAGTTTAATGAGATGTGAAGATAATACTGAAAGATAATGTTGACTAAGTGAAAGAGTTTTATGTTACTGGACCTTTAAACGAACCTGAAAAAGATTAAAAAATGAACTCAATGTTGGCCAAAAAAAGGACAGAAACAACTTTAATCGATATTTTTGGGCACACTTTTTTTTCTCTCTTCTTTCGAGACAAAATTTATCATCTTGAAAACTCTTCAGGAGGCGATTATCATTTGCTGTGCTGATGATGGTGCGTTGGAACATGTAAAGAAAGATTTTACTTGTGATTTGCCATTTTTATATCATGGATTCCCCTTGTCATCTTCATTAACATCTTTAACTCGTTCAAAAAAAGGAGGCAAAAAAAAGATTGAAACTGAAACAAGAAGAAAACAGAAACAGATTTAGATAAAGATGAAGCTCAGCAAAGGGCAAGATAAATAGCCGAATATTGCTTTCTCCCTTTTAACTGGATCATCTCTCCCTTTGACCAGATTTCAGGCCAATGATGATCTAAAGCCCGTCGACAACTTTCAATGACACCAAAATATTGAATGAAAAAAGTGGCCTTGAGTTGGTTAAGTGAGAGGAGGTCATTGATATGGGTCAGTTGAATCTATCATTTCAATCTTTTTATAATAACTTGTAATAATAAATGTATTATCATTACATGAAGATGATAATGATTATTGTAAATATTATAAGATGTGTTGTGTATTATTTTAATCAATTGAAAGAGATACTTGAGTGATTGGAATGAAAGAAAAACGTTGAATTGTTGTCTTTTGATGGGTAATAACAGTGTTGATGTATATTAATTATGAAAATGTGATTCTACCATTTATTCTTGCTGTCAATTATAAAGAATTGAAGGTTTCTCATCAATTAAATGTTAAGGTGATTAGTGTAAAAAACAATTGTATTATTACTATCATTATCCATCAATTTTGTGTTTTACGTTTGTTTTTATGAGCATTTTGCTTGATGAAACACTCAACAAAAGAAAACAAAAAGAAACGCAAAAATACAGTCAAAGTGTTTAGTAAAGTGTAATCAGGTAAACATTGAGTTTCCAAAATAATTCAGATAATTTAAATTGAAATGTATTGTTGGATAAGGCAAAGGAAGAGTAAAAAAAAAGGAAGGAAGAAAATTCAGAAAATGAAGAAACAAGTTGATTAATGAATGGGTTTCTCCCAATAGAACTAATAATGGCAACAATCATGTTCTTACCTTACATCATCATGACCATCATCAACATCAACAACATCAACAACAACCTGGTAAACAATATCATAATCGGGAAATTAATCTTGGTAAATGTTGGTCAATTTGAGTGATAATTTCCGTACTCAATGTTGAGCTAAACATCAGTGGAAAAATTAATTTTCAATTGTGGGCTTGTTTTGTCTTAATTGTTGCTTATTGTTGATGCTATCATTAATGATAAACATGCATAAAGCATGGTTACAGGATGGATGATTAAAACCTACCTTTTAACAATCAATTGTACTGTAAATTAATAGCCAAAAGGTACAAGTGAAAGTTTAACCCAATATGAGCAAAATATTGGAAACAAATGGTAAACTGTTTACCAATATTAATTGATATTACCATTAATGATGTTTACTGATTATTTGTTGCTTTTGTTTTCACTAATTAAATGTCATTAAAATGCAACTTTCAAGTAAACCCAATCATAAAGTTCAATATGATTATCATTGATTAACCTGATAACTTACGCCTTTCTCCTTGTTTTTTTCAATCAACTATTACTATGGACAAACTGCTACTCCAAATTGTGTTAAACAATTTACTTTCACCATTTTCATTGCCGGCAAAATTTACCTCATTACCTGTCCAATCATTTAATTTATTGTTTACAACTCAATTTACTGGTCAAACCTTTGTTTTATACTTCGTTGTTAATTTATTGACCAGCAATGTCGGCAAAGAATTGACTGGATAATTACAAGATGGCCAAATGTATTAACAATTACTTTATAACCAATTGACTTTATTTTGCTTTTTAACAGCTTGCATTATTTCATCAGTTTTTTTGGTGATTTCATTTCATCCATTGGTGATAGATTTTCTTGATTGTTTGCGCTCCATTGATTTTCCCTTGATTGCTTTGTTGTTGCTCATGTTTGTTGTGATATCATGATTATTTGAGTTATTTTAAGGTGAGGAAAGAGTAAAGAAATTGATCAATAAAACATTTACTTTTTTATTTAACAAAAATTGTATGGTTATGTGAATGATTAATTTTGCCCTTTTTTCATTGAAACATGATTGAAATGATGTTTAAATGTATTTCATGATGATGTTGATGATGAAGAGTAACATTAGTTTGACATAAACTATCATTAAATGGATGGAAAAGAAAGAGAAAAGATATTTAATTGGCATTCTAGGGCAAGAATCGGGCTGATTTTGGATTCTCTAACCCAGAAAATTGAAATGAAAGAAAGAAAAATTAAGTAGTGAGGCTTTTTGAAAATTGGTTAACTTTTTTTTCAAAAATTACACTAATCATGGAGGAATCATTAAATATTATTTCGCCCCCTTCAAGCGCCAATTTAAACATTATCCAAGAAATTATCTGTTTTCATCGAAATATAATCAGCTTGATTACCGTTCGTCTGCAAACCAATTCAGTCTAACCATTTGGTTTGATTCGTTTTTTTGAATCTCTATCATACACTTTTCCATTATCTGGTCACAATTGGAAAGTATAACAAGGTGTGGTTGCTGATTTTTGATTTAACTCTTTCGATTAACAGGCAAGCTGAAATATTTTTAACCAATCATCATTTCTTTGTTATAATCGCTACCCTAGGGGCAAAATTATCCCAACCAAATGCACGCTTATTGAAAATATTAAGTTATCAATATTAACGATGAACATCACTCGATTTGGCATGAAGGCTTAACTATCGTCACCATCACTTCCGATCTTTAGGTTGACTTTTAATGTATCATCTTGTTAAACTATTGATGAGCATGGCGATGATAATGATGTTCCTGTCAAGTTGCATTACAGTTCATTCGATAATCAAGGTAGAGTGGAGCGAACAATTAAAATCACGTTTATGTCCATCATTAGTAATAAATCAATCGCTGTATCAACATTAATGATAGACTTAACATCTTAATCATTAGCCAATTTCAACTCCTGTAAATGTTTTATATTTTTCCTTGGAAGCAGACGATTCCTTTCCATTCATGGAAGGTGAGATAAATCAAATTAAACTGATTAAACCAGCTTCCCTCAATTGAAGTATATTGACTTTGGATAAAATCTCGGCAGCCAGGTATTCAGTGAGTTAGATTGGGCCTGAAAAAAAAACAAAAAGACACCCAGAGTTTAGTTAATCAAGCGGACTGATTGGAAGAGGTGAGAAGGGAAAAAGATTGAGAGACAAAAGAAGACAATCTAATACAGTGAGTCAAGTTAATTTAGTTAACAGTTTACAATTAAAAAATCTTACCTTTCCTTCCTTCTTTGCTGTTGTTGGCCTCTTCCAAGTAGGAAACTCAACGTTGCTCGATTAGGCTGCATCATTTTTCTGTTCAATGATTTTGTTAATTGGTGAAAAAAAGGCACCCTTGAGATTGTCTTAACTTGATTTGTGATCCTATGATCACCTAATAATCAGCTGTTTCACACAAGTGTTGATTTAGGACTTGATAAAGCAAGTAAAATACAAAAAAAACTCAACTAATTAGACACTAAAAAGTAAAGCAGAATTGGATCTCAACAAATTACAAAATGGTAAGACAAAATCTGGTAAACAATGGGTTGAGTCACACCGTTTAAGCGCCATTTTCCCAGAGAGCCAAATTCAATTTACATTAAGGAAAGTCTGTTGCCATAAAATCTGGTTAATTAAATTTCAACAATTAACCAAATAGACAGATTTTCTCATATCTTCTTCCTATTTGCCTGAGTAAATAGAACCACTTGATTGTTCACTTAAACATTGTGTTTTCAAGTCAATCAAGGGTTGCTTGTAAAAAGCTTGAGACCAATAGAGTTGACAATGATTTGATCTGATATTAAACATCAACTGATCATCATTATCAACCCAATTGACACTCAATTATAACAAGCACAAGTCACAATAAACAATGAATATTTCACTTTCACATTAAACTTTAGCCAGACTTTATGTATTTACAAATATTAATATTAATAAGTGTTTGTTAAAATTTCACCTTTTTTTTGTTGGTTTCCCATCAACATTTCAACGGATCAGTTAAATACTAATCTGTAAAGTTAACCAAACAATCAACTTTAATTGTGCAAATCCGGTGTACTTATAATTGTCCCAATTTGGACAAGTTTATTACCAACAAACCTTTTAAAAACCAATTGGAAACAGAGAAAGTAAATGTTTCATAAAACTCTCACCTTCCTATTCAACTGTACAATAATCACATATTGAATGTTATTTTGTCAAAAAAAGCAATTTAATTGTTCACTATTTGTTAATCAACTTGATCTTTCCATTTTTCCCTGTTATTAAGAATCAACTCATTAGCTGTTGTATTATTTCAGCCTTTCAATTATTCAACAGAAAACTTGTCGACCGATAATAGTAATTAGTGTTGTACACCTTTAACTGAATCACTTGAAAAGTCGAGGTGAAGTGGAAACATTATCAGTTTATTATTGAGGTAAGTAAATTTCAATGAATATTATCTGTATTCCAATTCGGATGAGAGTAAGAATTGAATTGTTGTCATCAAACAGTCTCAGGATTCATGGATTAAAGCCGAGTGAAAGTTACATGAAAAGTCGAGTCAAAATAACACCGAAAAGGTCAATTGAAAAGATCCTAAAATGATGCTTATGATCTCAATGATGATTTGACCTTTTTGATAATCACTAATTTCTGGTATCAAGGCTATCAATTACAGTTTAATGTTGTCTGATTACGATTCAAATTGTACATATTAATGATAATTAAAAAAGTGACCAGAAAAAAACTGATCGACAGAATACATAAAAGACGAAAATTTGGCTTACCTTGAATGTAAAGTGAATGTAAAATGGATTTGAAATGAATTTAGAGATTTAGAGTAATTTGACTGAAGCATTTCTAATCATTGGGAATGATGATTATTAACCTACTAAATTTACAATTAATGGTGAAATTGGAAAATAAATAAGAGTATAAATATCATTGATTGAAATTTAGGAGAAAAGGAAAAAAACAAAATAATTAATTGATTCATGTATTATTTGTAATATCTGCCTGAAGTCAAATTTAAGCTCAAATTTTCAATAGTTTAGACTGGATTTTGAAAAATGATGCTGACGCAGGTTGAATTAATGAAGGTGTGCAAAGCCTAATCCATTAAATCAATGAATAATCATAATCTGTATCATTGACTGTTTAAGAAAATCAAATTTCCCTCTCTTTTTGGGTAAACCTGCTCAGTTGCTCTGTTTACTCATTTCTTTCTCATTTCTCTTTCTATCTTTAGTGTTGACTGTTACCATTCACTTGAACCACTCTCTTTAGCATTTTTCCCACCTCCTCCTCCTCCTCCTACTTCATCTTCATCGTAAAAATCATTCCTCTTTCCATTATCATCATCCTGATCATCGTCATCTTCACCATCACCATCATCCTCATCTTCAGCCTGATCAGCTTCCTCTTCTTCTGGTTTGCTCCTGCTCCTGCTCGGCTTATGAAGACACATCGGGCTTGTATAATGGTTCAATAGAACTGGCAATCAAAATCGAGTTGACTTGTTTTTACTTTTTATCCTTCTTCATTACATTTTTTTTATTCTTGTTGGAGTGTTAATTCTTACAATCATCATTAACATCATCTTATTTTACATCATTGACCGATCCATATCTTCATTTAACCAATTCTTCCACTCATCTGTCCAACTTTAACAACAACAAAATGATTTGTTGCCTCCGCATTTGAATTTCTCT